ATATATATATATATATATATATATATATATATACAACCCTCAGAATTAGGAAAAAATGAGCTTGGTAATAAATTGCTGATCACGAACTGTTAGAGGTTGGCATCAGGTTGGAAAAAAAATTTGAGTTTGGTGCCCAACCAGGGGCGGATCCAGAATTTTTTGATTTTTGATATAGCTAACTTCTTGACATGGAGCAAACTCCAAACATTTGTATGTTTATACTTTTGTCAAATAAGGATGCTTTGCAAAAAATTGTAATATTGGAGTATGGGAACAAAAAACCCTAAAATTTTTGCCCCCCTGCCCCAAACGTGAGTGCAACAAGTTGGTGAAATATTTTTTGTACTATTTTCGATTGGACTTATATTCATTGATAAATTTTAAATTTCATTGTAAAATATTTTAGCATTCAAAAATTATGACCATATAAAGTTTAAACCCCCCTCAATTTGAGGGGGTTGCAAATTTTATATGGTCATAATTTTTGAATGCTAAAAAATTATACTATGAAATTTAAAATTTCTCGATGAATATAAGTCTAGTTGAAAATAGTACAAAAAAAATTTCATCAACTTGTTGCTATCACATTTAGGGCAGGGGGGGGGTGCACAAAAATTTTGGGGCTTTTTTATTTTCAAGCCTCCAATAACCACAATTTTTTGCAACGCATCTATATTTAACATAAGTATAAACATATAAATATTTTGAGTTAGCTCCATGTCTGGAATTTAGATATCTCGAAGACCAAAAAATGCTATATTCGCCTCTGTGCTCAATAAACATTCACTTAGTGTGCTGTAAAAAACAGTTTAATCCTTGTGTTCTTTTCAAAAATTGAGATAATCGCAAATATTTTTTAGAGAAAGATCTGACCTTATGCCCCAAGGTACAATTAAAGATTAAAATTCTCGGCAATGTGTCTTCGAGCTGTGTGGATACTAACATTAACAGTAGGAGGCAAAAAATTCAAGTTCTATTATATTTATGTTACAATTATGGTAAATTTAAAGAATTAGATTGATTCTTTCAAAGCTTGATTCTTTCATGGAAACTTTCCTCTACTTGTGTATGTCTAGCAAGTGATTTTATAGCCAAGTGGTTTTGGAGTCTTTTTGACAATAATGATTGAATTCCACATGATTTTAATGTACATAAAGCATATGTACATTTAAATCACTAGTATTGGTTGATAACTACACAACCACCCATGCAATGCATTATTGAATAATGTGTTGCCATGCATATTTTGAATTTATTAATAATTGTCTGTAATAACTATGGGTATTCAGCTCTATTTGGTCATAACTCTGTGTGGATGAGTGTGTGTCTGTGCATGTGTGTCTATACACACACAAACGCAAACATTTAATTCTAACCTTATTACACACATAAACACAAACATAAATATATACACACACAAACACAAACATTTAATTTATTACATTTAGTACTATATATAAAACATATCAGAAAAGTAAATAAAAAAAATTCATCGCATAATAATAATTACACAAATTATTCATAATAATGGTTTAAAATATGAAAGCTTTTTATATACTGAAACCAAAACTTGATTTTACATCTTAACAATATCTGTTTTAATATATTGTTAAGAACTTCATTTCTTGTATTTTATATGAAAAACATCTAATATAAAAAAAAAAAAAAAATACTTGACAAGAAGCTTGATTAGTTTGATTTCCCCAAATATAGAGCTGCTTTAGTGTATAATTTGAGCGCAATGACTTAGCTAAAGAACAAAGACCTTCACCCGAGATAGAGTTATGACATAGCACTAACCTAAAACACAATATAATAAATAATAAACTAATTTTTGTGTAAAAATTATTTTTTGAAAAAAAATTAAGAAAAAAATGAATAGGAGCATACATCACATAGTCACATCTCAAAAAAATCATTGTGAAATTATGGCTCAATAAGAATTTCTGAAGCAAGACCATTAATATTTATAAAAGTATATTATCTTTTTTTTTTACTTTTCAAAAATTAATCCCACTGTTTAAAGTTAACAAGTTACAAGCAGTACTAAGCAGTGTTTGTTTTTGTCCGGATTATAAACATTTTAAACACAATTTCAAAGTTAACTAAACTTACGTAACAAGTGAAGTATTACGAACACTAATCGCCTCACTTAATGCAATTGCTCCATCATCTTCAGCTTTATTATATGCAAGATTTAACACTTGAAGTGGTGGGTTTGTGGCTAAATAATTTGCAATAAATTTGACACCATCTCGGCAAACCCGGTTACTAGAAAGATTTGAATACTGAATGAAAAAATTACTAAAAATTATTAAAATCATATTAAAAAATCTGGTTATTTTCCTAGTTATCTGTTTTGACCTTGTGTATCTGCTATGAAATATTTTTATATACTAATGCCTATAGTATCAAATATGTAGAAATAAATAGAATTCTGTAAATAACAAAAGTAGCTTCCTTAATTTAGTAGCCATGTGAAAATAAACTAAAGAACCTTTTATGAAGTAGAAGTAATTGTGAGAAAGCATCCTCAATGTAGTATAAAAAATGAGAAAAAGCATCCTAGATACAAAAGAACTAATTTAAAAATGAGAAAAAAGCATTCTCCATGTAGTAAAAGTAATTTAAAAGTATGAAAAATATACTCAATTTAGAAGTGATGTGAAAATGAAAAAAAGGCATCCTTGATACAGAAGAAGTAACTTAAAAATTAGAAAAAGAATCCTTTATGCAGTAAAAAAAACTTAAAAGTATGAAAAAACATCTTCAATTTAGAAGTAATTTAAAAATGAGGAAAAGCATCTTTGATGTAGAAGATGTAATCTAATAATGAAAGAAAGCATTCTTGATATAGCAGAAATAAAATAATGACTAAAAAAAAATCACTTAAGAGTACTTTCAAAAATTATAATAAAAACTCTTTTTCAGTTTGATACTGAATTTATTTTTAAAGTCATTATTTTTTTTGAAATAACTATGTGACTCAAATATTTTATTACTAAATAAGAGTAAACAGAAACTAAAAAAAAAAAAAAATTAAACATAAGCTAAAGAAATAAACACTAACTGAAAAATAAAAAATAAACTTATAAATAAAAATCAAAATTACCAGCTTAAATCAAGATGCAATAATGTTTTATTTTCCATAATGAGATCTATAAAACGCTCAGCTCCATAATCTTTAATGCCATGTTTTCCAAGATGCACTTCAAAGAAGAGGGAATTATTCTTAAAATAAAAATTAAAAAACTTATTACATGACATAATTGTCACAATTTGTCACAAATATGTTTATTATACGTCATAATAATAAATATGATGAATAATAATTAAACAATAATATATAATTTTCAAAAAAACTTTTTTGTGAATTTCATATTACTTTGGAATCCTCCTGAAAGATTACCTGTTGAATACTTATGCCATACATATTTTCCAATTTAAAAGTTGGAACTGATGTATTCAAAAGTTGGAACTGATGTATTCTAGCTATCAATATATATTTATTTATTTAAGTATATTATTAATTATTTGTTCTTATTACATTTAGTTATAACTAAAAATTGGTCTAAAAATTATTCTCTATTGGGAATAACAGATTCTCAAAAAATTATAGTTAAAAACAAATAATTTTTAAAAATAAAATCCTCAGTTTATATTTAGCTTGACTATTTACTTTTTTGTTTCTCTGAACTTAGTATCCAGTAACTTTTGCAAAAAAATTACTGAGCAAGCATTAACCAACAGGAAAATTTAAAAAAACAATAATAATAAACATCTATAATTATATTTCTAAATTTATATAGTTATATAATATATAGTGGCCATAAATATGCTAACTGCATTTAGCTACTGTTTTGTAGGTCTCTTAGGTAAAGATTTTAGAGGTAAGCAGAAAATTGTTATTTACCAGCCTCACACCTCTTCTTCATTAGGCTGGCAGTAATGTAGTCCTGTTACATTATTTCTTGTTTTGAATTATAAATGCTGTATCTTATTGACTCTACTCATGGCCTCCTTGTTACTAACTATGCTCTTCCTGATATCTCTTAATGAGAGTACAATTCTAAAACTCAGTTTAATGTTCTAAGGCCAGCTGGTAGTAAGGTTTCCTAAACTCTGTGGTTTTCAGAAAGTTTAATTTCATCAACAGATGTAAAATATCAGAGAATTTAAAAGTGCCATGTTGCGCATAGGTGTCCCTTTGAGTGCTCTTGGTGAGCATTGTCAAAGCCACATATGGAGCTTTTTATTACAACATTAGGTTAATTAGCAGGAATAAGGCAACTTTATCATTGCTTAAAGAGTCATGCACTACCTATGATTGATGCCATGCACTACCTATAATTGAATCAAGCTCACTAATAATTTAAAACACAATTAAAGTACCTAAAAAATATTAAACATAAAAACGATCAACACCACCTAATTGCTTCAATCTATCTTTTACAAGTATTTATAAACTTCAAAGTAACTTTTTATCAGTTGAATCTTGCATTATGCAAGGTTTGCTAAACCTACTAGCTTTTTGTTACACTAATTTGAATTTAGTTGTTTCATCTTTGGATCTGTTTCATCTTTGGGTTCGCAAAGGCTCAAAAAGTCAGATGTTTGACCAGGGCATATACTTGAGAATCAATTGACCTATTTTTCATGAAATCAGGAGAATCCTCTGGTCATTATTTTATGTGTTTTCATTTAGCACCACTGTTTCTTCTTTATTGTTCTCTTTCATCTTAAGGCTTTACTCTTTTTGATGTCAATTCTGATCAAATTGACCCAGAACTAACTCTTTATCCATCAGTTATTGGTGACTTTAATGCTAAACAAATTGAATGAGATGGCTCTAAATCACTGATTTTGCTAGCACTATAACTTTTGTTATTTCTAAACCTATGACACAGATAATTAACTTTATAACTTGTTTTCCAGACAAACCCAAGTACTTACCTTTGCTCATTGATTTATGTCTTGTCTCTTCACTGATAATTGCACGTAATCTCCTGGATCTAAACACGAATGGAAGCATTAATCCTTCTTGCCAGTTTTGAGTCAAGCCCCATTTTAGCCTGTAGTTTTCACCTTTTTCTGCAACTGTTTCTTTGAATAGTAATCACTTTTTTGATATTTTTAGAAAGAGCAACTTTCTCGAGAACAAATGTATTTTATTATTGCAACAACATAAAAAGATACTGTCTAACGCCAAGGTGCTGTCTGATAACAAGTTTTAATATTCTAAGCTTATTAAAATTCTTATTTTACCTCTAGAATTTGATAAAGTTTTTACACTTGCTTTTGTCTTTTCAAATTTGCTATTTAGCTAATTGAAAGTGCTGGTATTAAAATGCTACTGAACTATCTATGTCCTAAAGCAAACCTGAAAGCTTCCACTACACATTCAAAAGCCAAACTGCCAATGTTATACAAGAATATAAAGAAGCAAGTGAAAGAGCAACTTGGAAAAGACATTCCTGCTTGTAGTTTGCTGGCTTTAAAACAATACCACTTTTAATTCCATGACAGTCCACTATATCAGCAGAGATTTTGAATTAAAAAAGTTATTATTGGATTGCCTCAACTTCATTAAAAGAAAAAACTCAACATTAGAAAAATTAAGCCTTAACTTAAAACCGGCTTTATGCTAACAGATTGGACAGCATTATATATAAATTTCCAATCATAGCAGAACAAAATTTAGCACAAGTTTGTGTGACAGATGTCTGTCTATGCATACCAGTAACCTCGACTTTATCCAAAAGAATGTTTTCTTTGGTTAGCCAAATAGTTACTGAGAGGCAGTACAACCTAAATAGAATGATGACATTTGTCAAAAAAAATTATCTTGTGCTAAAAATCACATTTTTGGTTTTGGTTGATCAGCATGCTGATGCATGCAAAGAACACGAAGTCATATGATTCACATCTTTTTATTGTATCTGTAAGTGATAAAAACATCATGGTCTAAAAATATTTATTCGTATAGTTTCTTTCCTTGCACATGAATGTTTTGGAACTCTTTCCCACTTAATGTGTCTTTAACTCAAACACTTGACAGCTCTGTCAAAAAATCTGTCAACAGTTTCTTGCTCTTAAACAATATTCTTTGTTTTCTGGTAACTTAAATAGGGGTTACTTGAAGCCTTATTGGGAGTGAACTAGTTTAAAAAGAAAAAAAAAGTTAAACTTTACTAACTTTTAACAAATTTCCAAAGTGTATTGCAAGCTCTTCCTAAAACAAGTTAATACAATCAATTAAGAATTAATTATTTTATACTTTATTATAAAAATAGTTATTTATAGGCTATTCATAGTTTTTTATGAAAAAAAACTATAATTTATGGTAAAATAAAAATACTTAAACACAATTAATTTAAAACAAATAAAAAATTAACAAATTCTGGCTAAAATTCTGAATAAAATTCTAAAAACCTGGCTTAAAAGTCTAACCATAAGTATTCCATCATTGTAAAAATAAGTCTAACTATAATTAACTTTTCCATTACTTCTTATACCCTCATTCAAACACAATTTAAAGTTTTTTAACTTATATATTTTCAATAAGTAAAGCAATTAACTATTTATAATTGTCAAATAAAAAAATTTGAACAGAATTAACAAATACAATATAATAGCACATATCAAACTAATTGAAAAAAAAAAAAAAAAAGAATAAAATAAAACCTGCTGAGAAAAAAGTAATGGTCGAGTCACATCTAAAATTTTCAAAGCTTTATTAACATGCAATGCAGCTGTCATATTTACGAGTGAAGTCATATTCTAAAATTTATAAACTTTTAATCAATAAATATCATTTATAAAAACAATAATAATATTATTACAAAGATAAATGAATAATGTTAAATTTTAAAAAGTTGAAATAAAATCAATTCACATTGCTATCGAATCAATATTGAAAACAATAAAGCAAGATTCTGAATTGATGAATTCTTTTAACCAATTTTTAAAAATACCAACAATGTGATATGGCTAACTATCCAGTATGGAACCATATATCTCAGTTGCAAAGACATTGTTTTGACTAATATCATGCCAAAGGGAACATTTAACTAACTTCATTTTGCTAATTTGGCTGGCGGGTTTAAATAAATGAGCAACTAAAGTTTTATTCAACTCCTCCCCCCCTCCCCCTGTATGGCATGCTTAACTCATTTTTACAATTAAAATTTATTATCTTAAAAAAAATATCTAAAATTTGAATAAAATTAAAAAAGTAAACATTAACATTTTACAGCAAGGTTGGTTAAAATCCAAAAAATGTTATTTAAAATTTTTTTCATGGTATTTACTATTAGGTCGTTTGTAAAAAAAGTTACAGTACTTATATAGCAGTACTATATAAATACAGTACTTATATAGCAGTAATATGGAAGTACAGCACTTGAATAGCACTGCTATAAACAAGCCTAAATACAGTACTTATAGGTGCTAGTTAAGACCTAATATTTTTTTTTATTCTTTAAAATATTAAATATTATAAAATATATTAAAATCACATTATTTATTTAATTACCAACAAGGTTAATAAATGACTATATTTGCAAAGTTTTATATATATACAGTAGAATCCTGTTAACTCGGATTCTGAATGGGTATATATATTTTGTCCGACTTAGCAAATGTCTGAGTTAAGTGAAGCTTTTGGTATATATAGAGAATTCAAGGGGAATTGAAAATTGTCCGACTTATATATATATTTGGGAATTGAAAATTGTCCGACTTATTTAAATATTATCTTATAATTTTTTCGTTTAGCGGAGTTAAAAATAGCGTATATTACTGTTATAATTTACAGCTTGAGTATAGCAGTTGTGGCTAAGGCTACACCTTAAAATAATCAACAAAAAAAAAAAATAATATAATTCTCCAACATATTTTTAAAGTAAAAATAATATAAATAATTAAGATAAGTTTATTTTTATTTGCTATGTAAAATTGGCTTTAAAAGCGATTACTTAAAACTAAAAAAAAAAAAGGATTTAAAAAAAAGATCGGTCATTGCAGATTGGTTTGTGGCTTAGCTACAAACGATCTGATTTTACGGCATAGGCTGACTAAACTATTGATTTTTTAAGGTAATACATTTTTATTGAAAAGTCGTATGCCATCAACACTCGTAGCTCATGGCTAGATTGCTTTTTGCCTTGTGGCTGTACTTATTTCCCAGTCTTTTTATGCCCAGTCATTTTCAAATAAGCCTGTGTCTAAATTGTTTTCTTAGTAAGTTGGTAATTATGTTTTGAAAAAATGCTATTGATACTTCTCACATTCATAACATAAAATGTTGCAAAAAAAATTGTTTTCAAAACCAAAGGCTTTAAATAAACTTTTGGCTTGAAAATGCCCTGATATAAATGTTTTTATACCATATTTTAAAATGGATCAAGGTTTTTAAATAAATATTTTAAAATGGATCAAAGTTTTGTAGCTTTAACATATATTTTTTAACTATGTTTTCACGAACTATATTTGTTATAAAAATAACATGCTTTTTATAACTGTAACTATGTTTACTTATATACAACTGTTTCCGTGCTTATTGTTATAAAATTCTTATAACATTTAACTAAAACATTCTTATTTTATTAAACAGGTTAATACTATTAATAATAGTTTTGCCACAGAGCTATATAAACAATTCTTATTGTTTTTTGCTATAAATGTAAATAATTAAAATATTACATTTTTATTTCTTCAAAAAAAAATTCTGTTGGTAAAGCTAGGCTAATCAATATCTGTTGTACTTGTTGGGTTCAAAAATAGAAAAGTCTAGGCATTTTTTTTAGCTCTTCATAGTTGATGTTTGAATTTTCTTTCAATTTAACTTAAGTTTTAACAAAAATTTGATGGATTGAATTTTTTAGATTATAATTAGACTCCAAGATAAGCCACACGATATATCTCAAATTTCAGAATCTTTAAGTTGACAATTAAAAAAACATGCCTCAAGAAATTAAATTTAGTATTGAATTATAGCATTACAACTGGTTCAATATTGTTTTTGAATAAGCTATGGTTTTAAATGTAAAAGAAAACAAAAAACTAATCACTCATCATCTGATTATTTTAAGCCTTCTATCACTTTACTTCTTATCACATCTACTTTCTATCAATTTACTTCTTATCACATCTACTGGACCATCTTATTAATGATCTTATTAATTATATAAGATTTCAACTGCCATGTTAAGTTACCTGAAAACTAATAAAGATTGGCAAATATACTTTCAGGAATTTCTGGATATCTATCATTCCTATCTTTGCATCCAACCTCTATTCATGCAGAGTTGGATTATGGAAGCCTTTTTGGAAAGATCAATCAAAACCCCCATCTAGTATTTCTTAAACAAAAGTCATGACAATGACTTGTTTCCCCAACATTCTTGAATATTTAAAGATTTAATTCTAGATGCAATACCTAGAGATTAAAAACTTATTCAAGAAGTTAAGTGTTAAAAAGGTGATTAAACGGCCTAGCCTTAATGTCAATTTATACAGAAATGGTTCTAGATAAAACAGGGTTAACAAAATTTTTTCAGCTTCTGGAGAGAGATGTTTAAAGTTGATATTTAAGCCTTAAATAATTGGCTATGATTGAATAATAATAATTATCTTTTATATTTACAATCATTTTTTTTTTTTAAATGTTTTTATAATTTTCTCTCAGAGCATCTTATTTTTTATTTGTTTTAAATGTTTAATAAATTTTTTTTTTCTATTTTGTGTACATTTCATAATCTTTGACATCTAAAATGTTAAATGTTTTAAAAAGTGTTCTAAACTAAATAATGTGATAAAAAATTTAAGTATATGTGTAAATTTTGTTATCGTATGCTACAAAAAGAGTGCTTGATAATCATAAAAAGCAAAGATATAATAAATTAGCTTCCTGAGGATCCTATAGATGGTGAGACTGTTCAAATCTTTTTTTTAATATATTTATATTCAGTAGTATAAAATTTTAAAGTAAATATCTTTTGAATATGTCCCGATATTATTATATTGTTAATGCAGTAATAGTTGCAGTTATTCTATTAGTAACAAAAATTTAAAGGAAAGAATCCAGAAATGGAGGACTTTTTTTGTCAACAATAACAATACTTTTACATTGACGCATATTAAGAGTAGGAAAGAATTTAGATATGGAGAGCTAACTTTAGGCAGCTTTACAACTTACATATGGAGTGCTAAGTCCTATGGCTTACCTTCTAGTTAGTGCACTTCGTTAAGTAAGTTAGACATTGCATGTCTAGCTTACGAACAGAATAGCCAAAGCAAATTTTATGTTTTACCATTCATACAGTTTATAACCTTAGTAACATAAAATGCGTTTAAAATAAAACGAAGCAAATAAATGAAATTATTCTAATTAATATATCAAAAAAATTATTGTCATAAAACTTAATATTGGCGCAAAAACATGCCTATAGACCATACAAGTCTATAATCTATAGACCAAACAAATAAGATCAAAGAAAAAAAATTAGTTACCACGTTTTTTTAATTTATTGTTTCTTGATCTAGAAGACTAATAAAAGTTTAAGTATAGGGTTGTCCATTAATTACGTCAACAAAATAGGGGGAGGGGGGTCTGAAATTTTTTGTATATTTGTTAACACGGAAGAGGGAGGTAGTCAATAAAGTTGACGTAAACAATTTTCCTTTTTCTTTGTATAAGGTGGGGGTAATCAAAAATTGACATAATTTAATAGGAGGGGGGAGAGGGTCTCTGGAAATTTGACAAAATGTTGACAAGGCATAGCTTCTTTGTATAAGGTGGGGGTAATCAAAAATTGACATAATTTTATAGGAGGGAGGGGGGTCTCTGGAAATTTGACAAAATGTTGACAAGGGGGAGGGGGAGGTAAAAATTTCAAAAGTTTGTTGACATAATTAATGGACAGCCCTATAATTAAGTTTTTCATTCGAATGTTTTAAAAACTGATGTTTTCATTCAATGTTTTTATTCAAATTGTTTTCCAAGAAAAAGTGAAACAAAAAATTTGGTTTAATAAATCGAAATATATTTCCTTAAGTTTAAGAATATGTTGAAAAGAAAACATTTAAGCAAAAAAGTTGCTGGTTTCTATAAGCATCAGTTAACTATAAGAAAAAAAAAATTTATAAAAACGAATAAATATTTTAATATACTTAAAGTAGTAAAATTAATAATAAAAAATTTTTTATAAAATAATAATTTAAATAAATGATGATAAATTAGTTTGGTGTAACGTTTTGAAAAACAAAGATAAAAAGTTTTGTTAAAAAAAAAAAGAATGAAGAAAAAGTTCTCTTTAAATCTTTTCCCTTTTCATCTTTTCGCTTTAACAACTTTTTAAATATTATTGGCTTCCACGCAGAGATTTAAAGTAATTTAAATTCAAACTTTGAATGAAAACCTTTGCACAAAAGAGCAAATGATCATCTATTCAGAAAATATATTTAGGGCAACGTACTTTATGAAAAAAACAATACTTTTAAGAATTGCCGAAAAAAATGTTTAACTAAAAAAAAGTAAATAAACAACCAAAAAAAAAAACATATCACTAAAATATTTTTTTCAAGAAAAAACTAATTGCGAAGGTGTGAAAAGCAATGGTGATTCGCGATACACTTAATTCGAACCCTGATATATATATATATATATATATATATATATATATATATATATATATATATATATATATATATATATATATATATATATATATATATATATATATATATATATATATATATATATATATATTTAAAATATCCTTTTTTTTAACTTAAAACCAAAATAATAAGAATTTTTGTTAATTCAAGTTTTAAATATCTATCCAAAGATTAATTATGATTAAAAAAATTGCCAGTTAGTAGCTTGAATAATTTTTAAAGAAATGTTTATCTTTTTATAGTAATTAGCTTTTGTTTGAGTAAAACTGAAACTAAATATAATTATTAAAATCAATTTATATAACTATTATCATAATTGTTTATATTATGTAAGAAACTACTAAATTTAGTTCTTTAAACTTAACGAAATACCTGGTCTGTGTTGTTAAGGCTTAATTTTTCTAATGTTGAGTTGACTTGTAGAACATTTGCAAGTTCTGTACCGCCCTCTGGACCAAACTTATTTCCATCCAACACCAATACCAAAAGGCTTCTGTTAAACTAAAAATTTAATATTTAAACAAAAAATTAAAACTACAAATATCATTAATTAAAAACATATTACTATAAATGTATATATTAATAATAATAAAAATAATAATACAGTATTCTAGTGAATACTAAATTTCTAAAAATATTAAATATAAAAAATAAAAACAAAAAAAGTAAAAAGTTATAACACATAAAAAATGCAGTGTACTAACTAATTTTCTTTCATGTGATATTTTGGTCTGATTTGTACAGATCTTCATCAGACATAAAATGCTAATTTAATAACTGTTACAAAATAAAACACTAAAAATCATAAAGAAGTCATTATAAAAACAACATCAATAAAAATTGTTTTGTTTTTTTATGATTTTCTTAAATAGTGGTCTCTAACTATTTGAAGGAATTTTTACCCTGTTATCCCTGTTTAGAAGTAATGGAAATGATTACTTAAACTCCTTAAATGTTTGTGCATAATTAATTTTAGGCGATTCCCTTATTTTTTCTTTTGTGATTTTTGTTTATAGATAACATTTTTGGGTGCAGCCATTGGAATATCCCAGGCATTTTTTGCAAGGTTCAGTCACTTCCTAAGCATGCCTCCATAAGAACACCATAGTTTGGTGTTCTATGCTTCTTTGCAAAATAATCTTTTTTTATTTCCCCAATATAAATTCCCACACACAAACACGTAATCTTATACATCCCAGGGTTGCTTTTTAGTATCAAACTAGATTTGTTATTACAGAGAATTGTTTTTAAATTCGGTAATGTTGTAAGAATAACTTTGATATATATGTTTTGAGTGTTTGCATAGTTTCGGTCCAAGTGTTGGTAGCCAAGTTTTATTATTGCAACATTATTATTATTTTTTTTTTGTAACTTTATTGTAAGAATTGTTTTTAATAAAAAGGTAATTTGCAGCAATAGTTTCTAGATCTGATTTTTATGACCATTTTTAACTAACATATCTATCATAAACTGAATCTTGTGTTAATGTATTTTTTAGAGCCGATTTTGGTCTCAAAACTCCAGCAATAACTGCAGAGTTGATATATATATTTTTTAAACATCTTCGCTTCCAAAAAGGCTGCAAGCAACGACTAATTAGAGTTGGAAGTTACTGGAAGAGAAAAGATGAAGATTGTAGAACAAGATAACGATTGACAGACGACTTAAAAGATTACAAATTGTATGAATCAGGAAAGCTAGATGAAGGAAGCGAATTCCAAAGAACTGATGTTCGAGGAAAAAAACTAAACGAAGAAAAAATTTAGGAGCACTTAGGAACAGTCACAGAAAAAGGATGAGACTAAATTGAATGACGAGCAACATGAAAATGAATTTTAGAAAATGGCACAAGAGACGCTAGCTTTATAGAGCAGTGCCCATTATAGTATTTGTAGGAAAGAGAAAGAGAAGCAACATTACGACAATGTGATAATGGTTAAAGATTGGCTGCAAGAGCGATCCAACTACGTTTACAATGCATTTTTGAACCTTGTCTAAAAGAGAAGCAGCATCATTAGAAGATCTGCCCCAAATATGGCAACAGTATTCCATACAAGGCTGGATTTGAGATTTATAGAGATAAAGAATAGAATCCAGAGTAAGAAAGTGTTGAGCTCGATAAAGAGATGCAACTTTAGCAGATGCTAATTTTGCAATGAATTTGATATGTGGTTTCCAAGATAGATCAGAAGTAAGAGTTAATCCTAGAAGATAAAGTGTAGATGACTCATCGAGTACACTACTGTTCATAAATATAGGAAGGTCTAAATTATCTCGATAACGATTGTCAAAAAAAAAATTGAGTTTTATCTGAATTAAAGTTCACCAGCCACTGTGAGCCCCATGCTGCAGCAGAAGTGAGATCCTTTTCAAGCAATCTGAGAAAGTTGGCTTCTTATCATGACAAGAATAAATCATCAGCGAACAATGCCACCTTAGATGTGAGAATATTTGGAAGATTGTTAATGTAAATTAAAAAGAGTATAGGCCCAAGGATTGAACCTTGAGGGACCCCTGAGGTTACAGAATAAGAAGAAGAGTGCTGTCCATCAAGGACAAATTTTATACTATGATTGGAAAGGAAGGATTCAATAATCTTAAAGATGAAATCAGATATACTGTATGAAGAAAGCTTATGGAGAAGACCAGCATGCCAAACTTTATCAAACGCTTTAGAAATGTCAAGAGCGATGGCCTTAACCTCTTCACCTTATGCACAATAAAACCTATTGGTTGCACAATAAAACCTATTGGTTATTACTGTTAGCAAATCAGCTGTACAATGAGAATACTGAAATCCATATTGATGATCAGAAAGTAAGTTATTAGATTTAAGATGAGAGATTAAGTGTTTGTTAATTAAAGATTCAAAAAGCTTGCTTATGGTAGGAAGAAGACTAATGGAACAGTAGTTAGACGAATCAGATCTCTCTCCAGAATTTTTGAAAATAGGGATAACAGATGCTGCTTTCCAGCAGGCTGGACAACAAGACTCTGATAAGCACTTGTTAAATAGTTTTGAAAGGATAGACAACAGCTCCGGAGAACACTTTTGGAAGACTATAACAGGTATGTTGTCCGGGCCACAAACTGTAGAAGAGTCTAAGCAGGAAATCACTTTAGATACAGAAGCTGGAGTGATACAAATGTCAATGGATCAACCTGTTTGATAGCTATATCAGGTAGAACGCAACTAGTGGAATCAAGAGATGATATTGATGAAAAGTTTTTAGCAAACAACTCAGCTTTGTCTTTAGGTGAGATGACAAAGTCTGAACCATACAAGAGTGGTGGAATTACAGACTTGCCCTTATTATTGATACTATTAAAGATTCTCCAGAAGTCTTGAGAGCCTAATTTTCGTGATGAAATATGAGATTTCATGATCTGAGAATAGCGGTGTTTGGCATTAGACAAAACCTTTTTACAATGGTTCCTAGCAGTAATAAACAGACGTCTGTTTTCTGGAGAATTGTTTTGCTGATAGATATAGAAGTAATGGTTTCGATTGGCAATTGCAGCAGCACAATGTGAGGAAAACTATGGAGAAGAGTGAGGCTTGACCTGGAATCGTCGAGAAGGAATAAAGGATTCTATGCCAGCCTAAATCCATTAAGTTATGTAAGAAGCACATTTGTCAACAGGAAGACGAAAGATTTGTATCCAAGGGCATTCAGCAAAGAAAGTCACAGAAAGAGTTCCATTCAGCATTAAGGTAGTTGTAAGATGTACGATGATAGGGGATTCTGATGATAAAGAAGAATGAGATAATAGTTTTGATAAAGAAGAATGAGATAATAGTTTTGATAAAGAAGAATGAGATAATAGTTTTCAAACTGTGATCAGAGGCACCTAAGGGTGAATGTGGAGAAACTGAGCACTAACTAGGATCAGAAACAAGACATAAGTCGAGTAGAGAAGGTAAATGATTCGGGTTGTCTGCTTTAATGGCTGTAATGCTTTAATGGCTGCAGAGTCACTGACACTAGAGCCAAGCCATTCAGTGTGATGAACATTAAAGTCACCGACAACAACAATATTGGCTGATGGATAAAGAAAAAGGGCTTGCTCAATATGATCAGATATAACATCAAGAAGAGTGTAGTCTTAAGATGAAGGAAAACGATATAGTATAAAGAGAAAGGCAATAGAGTCAAGTGGTGCTAAACGAAAGCACTTAAAAGAGTAGTCTGTGGATTCAACATCCTAAATTGGAAAAAATATATATTAAAAATACATCTGCGCCAGCCTAATAGATAAAGAAGGGGTGCGAGGCTGGTCAACAGATAAAATCTGTTTACCCCTTAAGTCTTTGCCTAGGAGGCTTTCTACAAGACATGCATTTAACATCTGGCGAAGATGATTATTTTTATCGAGACACCATCTTTAGCCTTTACACTACCAAATGCCCCAAGGCAGGGGGTGTTTTATGTTGGAGTTGACATCTCCTAGCCTTCGCCTAAAAAAGCGTATCCTACAATGCAGCAGGGCATGAAGCAGATTGTACTGGGTTACATATTACCAGTGGCAGAATAACCTGACCTGACAATATATATAAGTAGTTTAAACATTGCATTATGTGGATATTTTGCTTTAGCTTTATCTTCCACAAAAACAAGTGTTTCTGTGGAAGATAAAGCTATTGTTAAGAGCACCCAGGTAGTAAGTGACCAGGGCCCCGACCCAGCTAAAAATAAGATTTTTTGCAAACCCCGCCCCAGCAAAATTATAAGATTTAGCAGGGGTTGAAAGCCAGGGCTAGAAAAAAAAAAAATATTACTTAATATATTATAATTTTATGCTTACATAATTTTAGCTAGGCTTTATTTGTATGTTTTTTATTGCTTCTTTACAGTGGACTTTAAAATCATACAACAAGAAATGTCACTAAACACCTCATTACTACTTCTTACAGCAAGGAGGTTTTTGACAAAAAAACTACGAGAGTAAAAAATCAAAAATCCGAAAAACCAGTTTATATTCTTACAGAGATGCATTTCTAATAATATATTTTTATCATCTTTTAGAATTTGATCACCAATTAAATAGAAAAAGGCTGAAAGTATTACTTTGGAATTTCAAAGAAAGTTATAAATATGCGCACAAAACAAAGCAAAATATCTTTTTTTCAAGTAAGGAGTTCATTAAAAACAATAACCTAGATTTAATAAGTTCATTAACACCTAATCATTACAAAATTATTGAAAATGTAACTGAAAAATCAAAAAATCATCACTTTGAAGTTAGAAAGAATCATTTAAAAGAAAAATATGATAAACTTTATCAAAAACACAAATAAAAGTAAAAACTTTATAAAATAGTCTATAAAAATAATTAAACCAGGAGCTTTAAACATCACTCAAGTTCATCAAGATGTTCCTGCCAATGAACTTTTTAATTTAAACCTAATTTTGCACTTTCTTATAAAAAATTACCGTTTATGGAGATATTATCACCTATTGAGTCATTTGCTATGAATTTCAGATAACCTAACAAGAGAACAACGGTTAGCATTAAATATCTTAAAAAAATAATAGATTTGTTGAATATTTATCCATTTGACAAGGGTTCTGGATTTGTTGTTTTAAATGAGTTTGATGCTTTTCAAAAACTTGATAAAGAAGTTAATAACTCAATAATATTAAACGATTCTATTCAGAAACTTACAATAAAGTTCCAGAAGTTGTTGTGCAAGTTTAGAAAATAAAACAAACTTGATAAAAAAACGTTATATCCATCAGATTGCATTTCCCAATAACTTTATGGGATTAAAATCTGGAAAATAATTATCCAATAGAACCAGTAGTTTCTACCATCACCACTCCTCCATATGGAACATCAGAATATCTTCTTGAATCATTCAACCTAGCCTAAATGAAAACAAAACACGCTTGTTGAATTCTACATCATTTGTCAACAAAGCTATATCCTGGTGTGTCAGTCCAGATGAAATTCAATTATTGTATGATGTAATAGCATTGTATCCATCAAAACCAATTGGTGAAGCCAATACCCGTGATAATTGATTTTCCTAATAATGATAAAATTGATCTTAAATCAAGAACCAAATTAACACTTACTGACTTCTACCAATTAATAGAACTATGTCTTAGACAATACTATTTTTGTATAAAAATGAAATTAGAACCATAACTAACTCAGGTCCAATTAGATTGTCACTGATGGTTGTTATTGCAGAGGCCTTCTTACAAAAATTGGTGATAAGAACTCTACAAATAGCGGAAATTTTTCACTAAAATCTCATAGAAGGTATGGTAATGATAGTTATGTCATTTTTGAATCAGTTGAAAGTATAAATAATTTCTTATTTTATAAAATTACCAAGACTCCCATATTCAGTACACGTAAGATATTAAAAATGAACAGAGAGAACTAAATTTTTTAGATATAAGAATAACTAACACAAATAATTACCATTTTAAAGTTTATCGTAAGGAAGCAATAACAAACATACAAATAAAACCTCAAATATCAACCCTGCAATTATTTCTGAAGTTTTTAAAGGTTTCATACAAGATTACATGTTTGTGTGGGGAAATTTATATTAAGGAAGCAAAAAAGAGAATTTTGCAAAGAAGCATAGAATACCAAACTAATAGCATGAATGGCAATCGGCATGCTTCTGGAGTGACTGGACATTGCAAAGAATGCCATGAGATTTTTGACCAAAAATGTTATCTATAAATGACAACTATCATGAAAGAAAAACAAGGGAATTGCATGAAATTAATTATGCGCAAACATTTCAAGAAAAAGCTGAATTGTTTGCTAAAACCTTTTCATCAATATCATCTCTTGATTCCACTACTGCGTTCTACCTGATTTGCCGTCAAACAGGTTGATCCATTGCTTAACATTTGTATTGTAAGGTTTTTGAATCTTTAATTAACAAACACTTAATCTCTTATCTTAAATCTAATAACTTACTTTCTGATCATCAATATGGATTTCAATCTTCTCGTTGTACAGCTGATTTGCTAACAGTAATAACCAATAGGTCTTATTGTGCATTAGATAAAGGTGGAGAGGTTAAGGCTATTGCTCTTGACATTTCTAAAGCTTTTGATAAAGTTTGGCATGCTGGTCTTCTCCAAAAGCTTTCTTCTTACAGTGTATCTGATAACATATTTAAGATTATTGAGTCCTTCCTTTCCAATTCTACTATAAAAATTATCCTCAATGGACAGCACTTTTCTTCATATCCTGTAACTTCAAGGGTTCAAAGATTCAATCCATGGCCCTATATTCTTTTTAATTTACATTAACAATCTTCCAGAAATTTTCACATCTAAAGTAGCACTGTTTGCTGATGACACCACCATTTATTCTTGTCACAATAAAAAGCCAACACTCTCTGATTGTTTGGAGGGGACATCTGAGCTTGAAATCTCACTTATGCAACAGCATGGGGCTCACAGTGGCTGGTGAACTTTAATTCAGATAAAACTCAATTTTTTTCAGCCAATTGTTATCGCAATAATTTAGACTATATATTTATGATATATGAACAGTAATGTACTTGATTTATGAACAGTTATGTACTTGATGAGTCATCTAGCCTTCATCTTCTAGGATTAACTCTTACTTTCGATCTTTCTTGGAAACTGTATATCAAATCCATTGCATAGCATCTGCTAAAGTTGCATCTTTTTATCGAGCTCTCTATAAATCTCAAATTCGTTCTTGTATGGAATACTGTTGCTATATCTGGGGCAGATCTTCTAATGATGCCCTTTCTCTCTTGACAAGGTGCAAAAATGCATTGTAAACATAGTTGGACCTGCTCTTGCAGCCAACCTCCAACCATTATCACATCATCGTAATGTTGCTTTTCTTTCTCTTTTCTACAAATACTATAATGGGCATTGCTCTAAAGAGCTAGCGTCTCTTGTACCATCTACTAAAATTCATTCTTGTGTCTCCTCCTTCAATTAAATCTCATGCTTTTTCAGTGACTGTTTCTAAGTGCTCCAAAAGCTCTTATTCGTCTAGTTTTTTTCCTCGAACATCAGTTCTTTGGAATTCGCTTCCTTCATCTTGCATTCCTGATTCATACAATTTGCAATCGTTCATCTTGCTCTCTGTAAATCGTTATCTTGCTCTACAATTTCATCTTTTCTCTTCCAGTAACTTCCAACTCTTATAGTGGTTGCTTGCAGCCTTGTTGGAAGCAAAGATGTATAAAAAAAAAATAATAAAAAAAAAAAGGTTAAACAGTTCCCTTTACTACTAAACAGGGATAACGGGGTAAGAATTGCTTCAAATAGTTGGAGAACACTATTTAAGAAAATCATAAAAAAATAAAACAATTTTTATTGATGTCATTTATTTAATGACTTCTTTATGGTTTTTTGAGACTTTATGTCTGATTAAGTCTGTACAAATCAGACCAACATATCACATGAAAAAAAATTAGTACGCTGCTGTTTTTATGTTTTATAACTTACTATAATTTTACTTACAACAAGAAATGTCACAAAAACACTTAAAGAAAGTATTAAAATGTGAATACAAAACATGTGTTATGATGTTATGTTACAACATAAAATAAAAGTTAGAAGAATTAAATAAATTGTTAGAATAAAAAGCAAACAATTTTAAATATATGTTTTGAGTAAAGTTCAAGCTAATTATTATAAGGAGAAAGGATAAAACAAAGTGTTCAAAACTGTTTTAGGTTGACTAAAGTTTATTAACACATTGTGGCAATCCTGGATTATCTGTCACATTTCCTGTCAAAAATTATATATTTTTTAATTTAATAGACAAGTATTCTACTCACTCGCAACAAATTTTACTTGAAAAAAATATGCATTTCTATATTTTTTTACAGTAGAACTTGTTGGGTGTAAAAAAAATATGGTTTTTAGTATACTGCAGAATTTTAAAAATGTCCATAAATATAAAAAGCAAATAAAAATAATTTAATACCACAAATCCCATTATGTTTATGCATTACACATTTTATAATTCATCAATGTCATTGAAAAAATAATTATTGTTTTGTAATTCTTTTAATATTTGTGGTATTCATATTTTTTTTAGCATTTTGATGTTTCTTATATTGGTTGAAAAATATTTAACACAACTATTTAAACTGTAATTTCTAAAAAACATAATTTACTTTTATTTTATTTTCATACTATTGTTCCTACAAAATTTTTATTGCTAATCAATATAATATCATAAAATATTGTTGTTAAATAATATACTAAAAATATTTATGTATATTAAAAAAAAACAAAAAAACAACATACTTAATAAACATGTCAAGAAAAGTCAAGGTTTGTGTTTTGGAGTTATAGAGTTGAGAGATAAATTATTATAGATATAACCACAATTAAAGTAGCCTTGTCTGAAGTGGCCTTCTTGACCTTGGAAAAGTGAATTATATTTAAAAAAAAATAACAACTGTTTTTTAGTTTTTAATAATAAATTAAACGCAGTAGAGCACATTAAAAAAAAACTAAATGCAAAAAAAAAAGAAGAAGTTTTTAGACAATGAAAATCTTTTTTTATAATTACGTAGATGATGATAAATGATGATATAGATAAAAAGAAATTAAAACAAAACCTACTCGAAGTGCATTGGCAATACTTTTTACGCCTTCAAAATGAATATCATTGTAACTAAGCACCAGAGTTTGAAGTGTAATTGTATCCTAATTTGATAAAAATTGTAAAAGATTAAACATAAATAAAAAATAGTGAAAATCAAAAATGACAATTAAGAAATTTTAAGAATTGATAAAAAAGAAGATAAGTAAATAGAATAAGAAAAGAAGAATGTTAATAAAATAAGAAGATAAGATATTTAGTTTCATTTATGTATTAATTTGTGAAAAATTTTGCGTCTGTTATTGTTTTATGTGGCATTTAAGTTTTCTAATTAAAATATATTTGCACAAAATTTAGGTCAAATATAAAAACTATGATATCAATTATATTAACCATATAACTTTTTTTGTATGCAAATAAGATGGATATAGAAGGAAGATTACAAACAAATACATCATTACTATAACTTCATAAAATCTCAAAAACACCATTCTTGATTTCCAATTTTATTACCCATTTTTACAATGTAAAATCTATTATAGTAATTCAATCTATCATAAAAATTTTAAGGAGTATTACTGAACATCTAAATAAATTTCCTCTATCTAATCTAAATAAAGCTCCTGTTTGAGCAAATTGAGTAGCTGTGGAGCAGTACTTGCTTTAGAATTAAAAGGTCTTAGATTCAATGCTAGTTTTAGCCATATTTGCAACATCGGTCAGAAAGGAGGCTTTATAGTTAAATGCTCTTCCACAATATTCTAATACTGTCCTAATCTATGTAACTAAGAAGTTGTGTCACATACCAACAACCCAATTTAAAATTGGCACCACAAAACCTTATTAAAATTTCATAAAAAATTTCATTATAAAATTGCAACATCGCCCCCCTCCCCTATGGATCCACCCTTGACGGTTGCAACAGATAGATTGATAGACTCCCCAGTCATCAGTGTGACCTTATCCTTGTAAAGTGCATAAAAGTTTACAAGATGTACTACAATTAAAAAAAATATGGGAGCCACTTATACATAATAGTAGATATAAAACAAAAGGATATAAAACAGTACATTTACAGTAATAGAAATTCGGAATTACAATCAGTTTTTAGAAAAAACTCAAAAAGCCTGCTTTAGTTGGATTTTTTTAAAAACTTGAAGTTTATTCCAACTTCAAGAATGTAAGCATCACCTTTATACACTAAATTATCCTATAATTACTGATAAAATTGCACAATTACCTGCAAATATGTTGCAATTAAACACACACCGTTGTCATTTATATTATTGTAACTAAGATCAATACCAACAACAAAGGTATTGCATTTAAGAGCTGTAATTATTGGAATAAGATCCTAAAAAAACAAAAAAAAAAATTATTTAAAAATCAGTTATAAATTAGTAAGAAACAAGTAAAATATTAATACATATATAAAAAACTTAAAAATAATATTACAGCATGTTTATATCAAAACATAATACTTAATTTAAAAAATTGTTGTCGGTGTCAACAAAAAGATTTAAAGAAGATGTGTTTGTTTTTTTATTATTATTATTTTGATTTACTCTCAACAACGCAGCCACTATGAAGTTAAAACTTATTAGGAATATAAAAAAATAGAGTTATAGAGCAAGAAAATGGTAGGCAGAAGATTTGAAAAGTTGTATACTGTATGAGTCAGGAAAACATGAAGATGGGAGAGAGTTCCAATGTTTTTTTTTTTTTTTTTGTTAATTCACCTCCTCAAGGCCTTCTCGGTCTGTGTGGTTATAACCACACAGGGACGTGGTGGGGATCGAACTCATCCTCTTGCTTTATAAGCGAGCGGTCTACCACTACACCACTACTGCAGGGTTGAAGTGGGGGTAAAAAAACTAGGTGAATAAAAGTTTTCAGAACATGCAAGGACATATATAGTAAACAAATGAGACTTCGCTGAATGACAAGTCAAGCGAGAATGAGTTTTAGTTGACAAAACTAGAAATGATTGCTTCTTTAAAAAATTATAAGTTATTGTTTAAAACTTGAAATAAAATTACCGTTATTGGTAAAACTACATGCTTGCATAACTGCAAAAATGTCTTTTGGAAAAAAACTTTTTGAGAATTGGGATTTTCCAACAATCCCTAAAATTGCTCGGAAAAAAATTCATTACTCAAAATTTGCAAATAATTTTTTGCAATGCGTTCCAACAACAGTAAATATTATTAAAAAAAAGTTAGCAAGAAATAAAGTACAATTTAAAAAATTACAAATTTGTTTGGTTTAACACCCACAAATGCTATTTCCTTAAAAGTTTTGCCTTTTTTGGCTGAAAAGTTAAATAAGTTGAATAAATATTTTTTGATTATAATAAACTGGTTCTAGAAATTTATTTAATAAGGAAAATAGATTTCTTTACTTTACTGGCTGCTTATATTTAAAATGTAAATTAAATACATATATTAAAATGTATATTAAATACTTTTAATAACAAGAATGTTTTTTTGTTTTTTTTACAACAAACTGGTACTAGAAATTTAAAAAACAAGAAAACTAGATTCACAGATTACTTGAATTTAAAACATTAAAGCAAATTTATATGTTTCAATGAACCATAACAACATTTTATGCATGAAAAAATAATTATTGATATTCTTCGTTCCCACGATAGAGTGCAATCGCTTACGATCTTTTGTAATTCTTTTGTAATTTAACGGTATTTGTTGTTATTTTTGCTGAGACTTTGTAATTGTAACTTTATTTTACTATGCGATTTATGTATAAAGAAAGTTACTATTAATTATAAAATTGAACTCGAAATAAATGTGAAATATGAAATTTAAAAACTTGTGTTTACTATATCCAAAACTTTTTTTATTTTTCTATTTTTAAACCATTTCTTTTGATGACACAATTTATTACATGATGGTGTAAGGGTTCGTCCATAAAGGACGTTAAACAGAATTTAGATAATAATTAGAAGTAGAAGATCACTATATTACTATAAAAATCATTTTGAATATATTTTTGCAAATCGCAAAAATATATTCAAAATTATATATTTTTATATTTTTATAACGCAGCGCTATAGTGGAGTAGAAGAAGAAAAAATATAAGAAAAAGACCCCACACATTTTAATCTCAGGGGAGGGAAGGGGGTGATATATTTGGGAAATTTTTTAGCAAATTCCCAATTTTGTCAAAACGCTGTATCAAATTTATTCCTAGTTAACACCCTAATCACAGCAGATAGCAAGTCAGCTGTAGAGCAAGAGTATTGAAAACCATATTAATTGTCTAACAGTTAGCTGTTTGAACCAAGATGGGATGTGAGAAATTTGTTGATCAAGGACTCTAAGATATTGTTAATGAAATGAAATGCTAATGATGAAAAAAATGATTACGATTAGAGATAGCAGCTGCGCAAGAGGGTGAATACCATGGAGTAGAATGAGGCTTGACTTAGAACCAACAAAAAGGAATAAAAGCTTCCTTTTCTGCCTGAATCCAAGAGGTTATGCAGGAGGCACATTTATCAGCTGAGAGAGAAAAGGCATCAACCCAAGAACAGTCACAAACAAAATCATGAAAAGAATCCCAGTCAGCTTTAGGGAAGCAGTAAATATTGTGATGATGTGCTAAGTAGAAGAGATGAAGAGGTGCTAAGCAGAAGCACATAAAAGAATGGTCAAAGGACTCAACCCTGATTTCATGACAAATAGATGAATTGATGTGTATGTATACCCCTATGTCAAGCAAGTGACTATTGGAGTTTTTGCAAATCAAAGGATTATACCCATCAACAATGAGATTTGAAGAAAGAATAGTGGAGTTTAAATTAGTCTCACTAGGAGCAAGTAAGTCTGGAGGACTTTAATAAAGGTAAGATCCAACTGATAGAAGTTTACTTTTCAGACCACAAATATTTGCAAAATATATATTAAAACAGTTAGATGGTGGGGATGATTTTTTATGTTTATTATTTTGGGTTACTTTTGGGATGAAGTTGTCTCAGTCCTGTTAACTAACTTGTTTCTCATCTGATTGCATAGTTACCAGTTGGCACTTAAAATAATGTTTAATTAAAGAATTCTTTTGCATCAGTACAAAATAACATGCAATATTTTTTTGCAGATATATTAAAAAAAACAGAATACATTATCTGTTATCTTTTTTCTGTACATTTCATTTGATTCATTCCTTTTGTTGCCATTTAAATAGAGCACATAATCTTCAACTTTGCCACTAAAATAATAAAACAATCAAGATTGTTTTTGAAGAAAAAACACAGGCCATTAACTTTCTTAACGTACCAAAATATCAATTGAAACTATTTAAAATTTATTTGCATCTATTTAAGTAACTCTGAATGATAAATTTATTGTTCATGTAATGATTTAAATTCAAAAAATTTATAATATAAATTTAATTAATAATAAATGAACAAGAAAAACTTTGTTTTACTCCTTATCTTTTACACTTGCTTGATTTAGTATGTGAACAAATTCAGTATTCATTTCACACTGTGCAAATATTCATAATATTTGTTGAAGTATTTCTAAAAAAAAAAAATTAAGTCAAGTTTGAAACTTAAAGCTTAAAAATTATTAGTAAAATTTACAATAAAACATAAACTTAAAAAACCCAACTCAAAACTAAAACTAGTTTTTTTTTAAACATAGCATTTTAGCTGACCCTATTGGGTATTAGCAGCCATCCATAAATGATGTCAGTAAATATAGGTTAAACGAGCAAATTTTAAAGGTATTTACATCTACAATCTAGTATATTTGCTTTGTAGGGAATTTAATATTTCTCTAGTTTCCCAAAAACATAAAATAAATTAAGAATTTACTAACATTTTATTATTGTATTACCATTTGTCTGCAAATCTAATTGTTTACAAATATCAACTATTTGTATATAAAAATCACAATCATTAATTGCTCCTTAGCAAATTATAAAAAGTGCTTTAAAACAAACACAAAGTCATTTGTCATTATTTCAAATACAATTGTCAAATAGGAAACTCTAATTGCACTCTAGTCAATTAACAAAAATTGCTCAAAGTTTGTACAGCCCACCAATGAGTGATCTGCCATTGATGATCAACAAAGTCCATAAACTTCCAAGTTATTGACCATTAAAAAAAAAAAGGAGTGGCTCAAGATCGTATTAATTCTGTTATGGTAGCTTTAAATTGTAAAGTTGCTGGAATGAAAACTAGAAAGAGAAGTGAACTCATTGCTGAAGCTGAAGAGTATGATCAAGCTTAACAGAAGAAAACTAGAGAACTGAAAAAAGCTAGAATGGTGGAAATCTGCTTGGAACATCCAGAAGTTGAAGAGAAACTGAAAATCAGAAAGAAATCTGGTTGACCATCATTAGAAGTAGATTAACCTCTTCTTTTGAAGGTCATTATTAATATTGCTGTCCATGATTCGCCCTCTATACTCTTCTATTTCCAAGAAGTTATGGAACCTCAAAAAGCAAAAGACCAAGGTTAGAATGCGGATTGGAATCGCAGCAGCCAAAAAACAAACTGTTGTTGATACATTTGGAGTATTGGGTAACTCTCCCGGACCACGATTAGGTCGTAGCTGCTAAATACAAGCTTATACCATCTGTATATGATAGAATTACTATCTAAAGAAAAAGTCTCTGAAAAACAGATGCTGTTACTTATTTTGGACCTACCTCCATTGCTGTTCAATCAGGAAAACACACATCCTCAACCACTTTTGCTCATGGATTAGACTTTCAGTAGCTCTTGGATATCAAAAGAATTCAACTCTATTAGCAGAGATAGAGGACCTGACGAAAATCCGAAATACCAGAAAGTAATTGAAATCAGAATTGACCATTTCTTGAAGAATAACCCCAATGTTCATTTTATCATGACAAATGCTATGGGCCACAGTGAATTTAACCGAACTGAGCAACCAATAGCACCTCTAAGTAGATAATTATCTGGGAAGATTCTTCCCTGGGAGCATTACGGAACTCATCTTGATTCTCGAGGTAATTACAAATATTCATTGGCAAAAGTTAATTCGTAATATATAGAACAATTTTTAACCTATAATAACCAATAAATAAATCAGGCAGGATAATAGATGAAGATTTAGAAAAAAATAACTTTGTTTTTGCTGGACAGACTTTAGTAAATATTTGGTCTAACCTAAAAATTGATGGTCATCCAACTGTTGCAGAGTATATTGATCCAGAACAATCAGAGCTAGAGTCAAAGAACTTTTTATTACAACATCAATAGTGGATTGCCCATCATCTTTATAAGAGTCAATATTTTACTTAAATTGTGAAGTGTGAAAATTGTTCTTGTTATTGGACTATAAGAAATATTACTTACTTTACTCTAATTAGAACACAGTTTTTTCTGCCAACTGTCTTGGTCAGCCAAATAAGAGATGGTCTCAAAGCAGTAGATGTCTCAGAAAGAGTTAAATAGTCGTTTCCATCATCCCTGTTTATGCTCATTGCATCAAACATTAAAAGTATTCTTCCTCGACCAGCCAAAGAATTTCCAATTCTTCCGTATGAGTTTTGTCCATCAATTCAGTCTAGCCTGGATGATAGAATCTGTAAAAAGTGCAATATCAACTTTATCTCTCAAGCTACGCTTAAAAAGCAAGTTTCTATACAAGTTTCTTATCTGCTTTAATACTCCCTCCTATCAAAAGGGTCTGACTAGTTTGCATCGCTGCCAAGCGTCAGACAGAATTTAGGGCAGTTGTCACCCTGCAGAAGAATTCAGAAACAACTGAATGATTGGATGAAAATGGTTGGATGAAACTGAATGATTGGACGAAAATGAAGTTGACGCAACAGATATGATTGTACCTCAAGAGGATGATAACCTTTTAGTTTGCAGAGGGCATGCACTACGTGTTGTTTTAAATGAAGATCATTTCAACAACCCCATAGGAAGATGATAAGTTAGTGAAATTATATTATACATAAAGTATAATATTATCTTAAATGATTATTTGACGAGATATCAACTATTCTAAAGTATAATTTGCTAAGATCTAATATTATATAAATGAACAATTTAACCAGAAAAAAATCAACAGTGTTTACGCATTTTTTAAAATCTATTTTAGGGAGGATGGGCAGGGATACAGGAGGTGGCCATAAATTGACAGTTTGACAAAAATGGAAGGAGGACAACCCTTTATGTGCAACCTCTAATTTTTGGCTGGCATAACACCGAACAGTTAGTAAAACAACTGTTTAAAGTCAACAGTTTAACAAATTATAAAATTGCTTGCAAATTTCAAAATGTTAAAATGAAAATTCATAAAATTAAAAATAATAAAAATTAACTCAAATTAACAATTTTCTATTAGTAGTGTGGAATATATTAGTTTATGTAATTAGTAGAGCTGAATATGTTAGTGCTATGTAAAATGAATATGTTAGTGCTATGTAAAAACGTTAAATGTCAGTTTTATGTAATGCATAAATAACAAATATATACCCTAAACATAAAACTTTAACATTTAAAGTTGTTAGAGAAATTTATGAAAAAAAAAATGTTTTGATACTATCAAATATATTGATACTATCAAATATGAGAATGATTGTGATAGATTTAAAGGGCGCAACTTTATTGGGAAAATTACCAGTACCCTAATATTTTGGAGAAAAAAAGTTTTTCAAAAGTAGGTCAACCTGGTACTCAAAAGAAGCGAAATTTTATAAAAAATTCGAAAATAATAATCGTTTAAAAAATTGTTTTTAAAAAACTTGTAAAAATGCACCTTTTTCACTTTTAGTTAAAAAACTATAGTTATTATGCAATAAAATCTAAAATAATAATTTTATAGGAAAAAATTATTAATTTTGAAATTTTTATAAAATTTCGCTTTATTTGAGTACCTACATCACATAATTTTGAAAAACTTTTTTTTTGAATAATAATAGGGCCTGCTAATTTTTGTAATTATAATTGCGGGTGGAAGACATTGTTCAATCCATAAAAGTAAATACTTTCCTAAATTAGTACATAAAAAAACAACTTTCTAGACCATAGCCAGGTTAGCATCTCTAAAAAAAAAATTTTATGACCCACACTAATATATATATATATATATATATATATATATATATATATATATATATGTATATATATATATATATATATATATATATATATATATATATATATATATATATATATATATATATATATATGTATATATATATATATATATATATATATATATATATATATATATATACATACATACATATATATATATATATATATATATATATATATATATATATATATATATATATATATATATATATATATATAATATATATATATATATATATATATATATATATATATATATATATATATTTGTGAGTTAACAATTTAATAAATCACCTGGGAAAATGCTCTTATTCTATAAATAAACATTTTCTAACAATGAAAAATTAAAAAATATTGATAACCATTTAAGGATTTGAGTTCAAATAAATGTTTAATCAAACAATTTGAGATTTGTGAGCCAACTCTAACTTTTTTTTAATCCGTGAGAAGTTAGTACCAAAAAAAAATTATAAACTTGTCACGAAAGTATTACCTGCTGCTATTGCAAACAAATACAAAGAATATCTGCATTATAATTTTGAGCATTTGTTCAACTTTCTTATTGAGTTTGTGGACTTTCAATAATAATTCACAATCAAAGGTTATAAATTTGGGTATAAATTTGTATTTAGTTAGGTTATAAACTTGTGAAGTTATAAATTTGTATTTAGCATAATGCTAATCAAAACAAAAATGTTTACAACCTGATTAGAATTTTTTTTTTTTATATGATTAGATTAGTACTATATAAAAAAATGTATACTATAGTTATACTTTTATATCAGTTTAAAATAAAAAAAGAGAGAAAATAAGAGAGAGAAATGAATAGAAAAACTGCTTAGAAAAATAAATAGAAAAACCAATGAAAAACTGCTGTGAATAGTCGATGTAAACTGAAACTAGATGCCAAGTTATTTAAAAATAAAATAAAAAAATCTGAACCATTTTAGACTTTCCTAAAACTGAATTAATTAAAAAAAAAATACTCATATAAAAAACTTGATAAAAGCTTGTATAAGATTTGATATACAACAAACTTGACAAAAGCTTGTATAAGATTTGAAATAAGCAGTGTTACAACAACTGTTGTAACACTGCTTATTTCGCCTCAAAATTAAGAGGTTCTACTTTCAAATCCATTCAATGCTTTCAGAGGTTCTACACTGTTCAGAAGTTCATCTGTTATTCTACTCAGTAACTTTTTTAAACAAGGTTCAAGTTTTAGAGTTTAGGATAGTGAATTTCAAATTGAGTTAAAAAAAAAAAAAATCAGTAACCTCCTTAACTGTAGTGGCCCCCATTGGAGCCTTGGTGAGGTGAATTTAATTAAAAAAAAATCTTATAAATTCAGAAAGGCATGAATACTTTTATTACTTCTTATCAGTTCTAAGTTTTTAAATGCAGTAGTAGTATAGTGGTATAGAGTGCTCACT